TTTTTGGAAAGATAACAGAGTGGGAAGAAGGAATAAAAAGAAATATCGTGAATAGTAACGTGGCCATGGACAGTCGCCTTTCCTGAAGTTTCAAGGACAGGAATTGTAGGATAACTGTATAGTAAATAAAGCTGAGATGAAAGAGGACTGTCAGGATCTGACTTCACTTAACTTACATGCCGGGAAGGGGATGGGCTGGACAGACGTACAGTAAATATTTTTTTAAAATAGGAATGAGGGGGTCGAAATAATAATACATGACAAAAATAAAACAATGTAACTTTCAATGCGGTCTTTCAGTCTTGCTGGTCCTGCATTTCTTCTTCCAAACAGTTATCTCTGTGGCTGGCGTACCTGAACAGCTGCGTCAACCCGTTCGTCTACTTTATTTTCAACATTGTGTTGCGCCGGACTGTGTCTACCTACTTCACTTTGTATAGAGAGGTGAGAGATCGGGCGGAACCTGAGTCAGTGGGTGGTTAGTCAAGTGGGTGCGGTGGTGTGGTTTGCTCCTTCTTTACCATAAAACATAATTTGTGAGGCGGCGTGGTGGAATCAGGCTCTCGTCAAAAAAATCAAAGTAAAGAAACTTGCATTTTTCCACCGGTTTGTGAATTTTTATCATTTTTTAAAAATATTTTTTTTTGGTACTCAATACATTTCTTGCCAATTAAAGAACTCATTTCTGTGTGGATTTTGCTAAAGAGCGTTGATTAAAGGCTCAAAAAAGTAAATTTTCTGTTACCATGGACTCTTCAGCAAAGGAAATAACTAATCTTTGGCAGCCATTTTCTTACTAATTTTACCTCTGAACACAGGTGACCCCCACCTCCTTCTTTCGCAAATATCTCGATTTGTATTCAAGATAAATGCATATTTTTTTCATCCAAATAAAGACAAGTGAATAAGCTTTAAGATGATACCAATATCTCTACATGCCCAAAAATTGACGAGAGCCGGACTCCACCACGCTGCCTCACATTTATGTGGTCCTTATCTCTCGTTGCCCTTCTTTTCTTTGTATGTTCCTCTCTAGTAACGTCTCTAACACCTCTATTCTTTTATTCTACTGTTATGACTTATTTGTGTTGCAAGAGCCGTAAAACGCTTACACAAACTTAAAACTAAACTAATGACTTCAGGGAACAAACTACTAGTGATGTCCAGAATCAAATTCCTTTAAAAAAACAACAACACCCCTCTGTGTCACCTATAGATGAATTGAAAAAAGGTAAAACCCGTCCAAAATAGCTACTTAACATTATTTCAGCAATTGAGCACAAAAACTTCTAAGATTCTACACTTTAAAGAAACAGGAAGTCTCTGAATCTATATTTTCAGATTATAAGGACATGAAACGTCACTAGTTTTTGTTTTCTTTACGATCTTCAAGTGTATTGTTGTAGGCTTAAATAAGGCCCTAGTTATAAAGACGAACTGGTTTTATTAGCGTACTATCCTTATAGTGGTGAGAAGTTAGAGGACGCCATTGGAAGGTACTATTTTTTTTCTTTTTCTCTGTCGTTTATGACTATCTTTCTTGCTTCTTCCCTGCACTGTATGACTGTAAGGGTATTACCTGTATTACCTGTCCTGGGCAACAACGTCATTGCACACCGGGCAGGTCCATAAGTGCTCAGTTCCCCCCAGCACCAAAGCCCGCAAGGTATCCATACTGATTGTTGCGGTGAACTGTGAGGGTGTCAATGTGCTCTTCTTTACTCACGCGAACAACGCCTCACACATGCTCTTCATTCGGCTCAGAATTAAAAAGACATATTATTTGCCCAATACCCGGTTTTGAGATAGATCTACATTTTTCAGTTTTTCAATACGTCAAGGTTTTTCGAATACACTTCTTTGAATATCTTGATAATGACTCAAAATTATCTTAGGATTCCGATAGAGCAGATACATCATACTTTCTGACCTCATGTTCCTAGTAACTCAAAACGGCCCAAATTGTCAAAAAGAACACGTTGTAATTCTGAGGTAGCACTTAAGCACGGTCTCGCCTTTTAAATAATTCTACAATGTTACAGGTGGCATTAAGCATTATACAAATTTTAAAGTATATTTAAATTGGTAATTTTAAAGGACAAGCGGGCAAACCCAGATTTGGGGGGGTTTCCAGAAATCTTGACCTACACCAAAAGTGGGCATTGCTCTACCTATAGGAGTAGTGTGGTTTCACTGGTGTGTATATTTGTTTGGTTATAGAGAAAACTCTCCTTGTCTTTTAAAGAAACTGAACAAGCGTCCAAAAACTTTACCTTTGATTGTCTCAAAACAGCATTTTTCGGGATAGCCCCCTTGTGCTTAAAAGCTACAATTTGTTTGGTCATAGAGACAACTCTCAATTGAACAGGGGTCCAATAACTTTATCTTCGAGTTTCTGAAAACAGCATTTTTCGGGATAGAGCTAGCCCACGCATGCTTAAAAGCGACCAATGTGGGTAGTGGGCGGATGACCTGGTGTGGTTTGCTTCTCCTTTCCTATCATTCATCTATCGCCCTTATCTCCCCTTCTTCTTTTTTATGTTTGTTACTGTCTTGTAACACCTCTAATCCTCTGGTGGTCATATGACCTTATGAAGTTGCGAGTGCCGTAAAACTTCTACTAAAACAAAAACTAAAAAGCGACCAATGTAACTGTTAGTTTTCTCCTCAGGGTTACGTCAGGCACGCCGACCCGTCGACGTCCAAGGCAGACTCAAACTTACAGGTAGGAGATGAGTTGGAAGCGGCACGGAGCTTTATTCAAGTTCTTAGCGTGAGGAATATTTGGTTTAATTTAACATTTTAAATGTTTCAACCCCCCCCCCCCAAAGGATAGAGAAAGGTGGAAGGTATTTGTCCGTGGCCTATACTCTGGTGCAGGGTGAGAAAGGCAATGATGATGAGACTCCCCCACCCCCCAACCCCCCCAAAAAACCCAAAAACAAAACAACAACAACAAAAACAAAACAAACCAAAACAACTTCCCAAAGCAACAAGAAAAGATGCATAATGTAATTATAATTTTTAAAGTGAATAAAACAGGTTTTTTCTTTGTTTCCTTTAAAAAGTGATTCCTAAGCGTAGAACATTTTAATTGCCATGGGTATTGGCGATCATCCTGGTGTGGTTTGCTCCTCCTTTCCTATCCATCATCTATTATCCTAATCCTTTTGTGTGTGTGTGTGTGTGTGTGTGTGTGTGTGTGTGTGTGTGTGTGTGTGTGTGTGTGTGTGTGAGAATTCATCTCTTGATGAAAAGGGAGAGAGAGCAAAAGCATAAGTTCGTAATATTGATCACTTAGAAGAAAAGAGAAGACGGC